GCTCACACAGGATAGAAATGAGTGTTGAGGGAACCTCTGAGGAATGGTTTTGGTTTTGAGCAGGTTCATGGGAAGCTTGGACCCTTTCAGAGCTTCAGTAGCAGCCTCTAGGCCCTCAAACCAGGGAAGCACCGGGCAAAACCCCCATCCCAGCGGATGGAGCTAGTGCCAAAAGTAAAGCCGGAGCAGGGATGACAAATAATTTTTGTTAGATATTAGATTTTACAGATTTCCAGTGATAGTAAGTGAATACATAAATACTACCTAATTTTATTTTTATTGGGATGGTTGGTTAATTCTTTTTTCTGTTATCATTATCTTCAGGTAACAATGATCATTTTTTTTTTCTATGTAAAATTGGAGTTATGTTAGTTTGCTGTCCTTAACAGGCAGCATAAAGTCTGAAGCGTTCATCCCTTTTAAGGAGAAGCACAAGAGAGCTTCTTTATACACTGGTACACGTTTTGTAGCCTGGCATTGATTTGTTGGCATTTTCAGGGATTGGGGAGGTCAGTGTTGCATTATCCTTGCTGTGAGTGTCTGAATTCTGTAGTGTGTTAGACTGTTTGTCCTTAAGAAAGAAAATAACAGTATATTTTTGTCCTGTGTTTTGCCTGCAGCTGTAAGTACACCTACTTTTTCCATTGTTTCAATGTGCCATTTAGAATTCCTTAATTGTTGCATAAAAAATGTGCAGGGGGGATAAGAAGCTAGGAGCAAAGAAGCTAGGAAACATCTGTGCCTGTGATTACTAAGCTAATGAAAATGTTTTCTGTTTCCTCTTGTTTCAGTAATTGTTACAAGTACATATTTAACGTAGTGGGCATTTTTTAATTTGTGCACAATTTGATGTCAGGTATTTGATTCTATATATGTAGCTTTATAGTTAATGAAGCATAGGCTTGTTGATGAACACCTCTAAACATACTCTGTGTGTTCAACTTAAATAAGTAGCATTTAATTTCTTTTTTTGGCTCAGCTTTTTGCACTGCCTTGAATGGTTCTAATTGTGCCTTTGTTAAGCAGAATTTGTGGTAGTCACCTTATTAAGCCTCAATTTTTTTTTTCTTTGTCATCATCCTCACGGTAAAATGTTAGGAAATACATTTTTTTAAATGAGACGACTGATGTGCTTCGTAGGATGGGAAGGGCTGTGTTTCTGTAGCTCTGTGCCGTACAGAATGTGAGCGTGGGCACTCTGCCTCCTGAATGGGAACGGGCCCTCCTGACCGGCGCCCCCGATGCCGCCTGGCGGGGCTGTGTCACGGAGCAATCAGCCTTAAGCCGTGCTCTTTAGACCCAAATCCCGGCTCTGTTAACTTGCCTAAGTGTTCAAAGTCAGCCCTTTCTGCAGCTCCCCGGTGCTATTGCTTGTTCCCTTTGCTGGGGGAGCTGAGGAGGCTTCGCGTCTTCCCGCCGGGCCTCTGCCTTTCCCGCCCTCGGCCCATCCTGCTCCAGCCCTTCCCTGTGGGCAGTGAGCTCCGGCCGCAGACCTGGCTCCCAGCCAGCCTCCCTGTAACCCACCCCACCTGGGTCATCCCAAGTTGCTCCTTGAGATTTTTCCCTCAGACAAGTTAATTATTCTGGTTCCTTAGCTTTCAGAAAACAATAGAAACATAGTTTGGTGCCAGAAATAATGTAGTAGTAGAATCTGTTCATTCCCCCCCACACACTTTTTTTTCCAGTTTTAGGAAAAAGCAGGGGCCATACAGTTTTTTCTATATTCATATAGAAACATGTTCATGTTCATATGGAACATGTTTCTATGCTCTTTCATATTAAGCAGTTCATATAAAGTTCTTTGGATGAACAGCTCTCTTTTTATGCATTCCGTATTAATGCCTTATATTTTCAAAACAAGCCAATGTAGATTGCTTTGGTACTTTGTGTAGGTACTGCTTGAAAGGTTTATCAAACGTAAAGTAAATTTCTGATCATTCTTTTTAACCTTTTAACCAGAAAAGCAGTCTATAAATATAGGAACTGAAATAGATGTACTAGCTACATTTCATTTAACTAACTTGTTATTCATTATATCATTTAAGTTGAAAAAGAAAAGCTTATTTGGAGATGGGAGCATGAGGGGAAGCTTACTTCTCAGAAAATCTCAGTTTCTTTTTCAGATAAACCGTATTTAAGGAATATGTGTGGATGAGTGGTTTGGATGAGTGCTGCAGGTTTCATTATGAGAAATTTTCCCATCTGATTTGCCTAGAAATTACAAAACCTTTTTGCATGGGGTGGCAAAGCAGCCTTTCCAAAGGCAAAGGGTAGTTTCTCTTCTCAATCTTCAATTTTCTTCTGTTGGGACAACCCGTGAGAGCACCCACAGGTTTGTGCCATCTTCCCAAAGAAAACTTTTTTTGGCTTTTCAGGAGGAGTAGGAGGAAACGGAGGAAGAGGGTGGAAACAACCAGTGTTTCTGAGATCTAAAGTAAAAGTGTGCAGCCTGTTTAATAGGCAGTAACGGAATTTTACTGCTGGAATTTGCTCTGTGCTAAAAGTAAAATTGCTTACACGACACTAGTTACTTCGGGAGTTTCAGAGAGAGCAGAGAGACAGTTGCTATGTTTTTAGCTCCTCCTGAGTGAAATAGTAATATAAATTTCAGTTGGAAAAGTCATTCGATTGAGCACCCTTTTCTTGTGGGCCGACTTCCCCTGGTTGGTTTGGTGAGACCTAGCCCCCCTGCTAACATCCCCGCAGGGGATCACAGTGGAGCGCGTTGAATAAAACACTCCATCACTTTTTCTGAACTTTAACCAAGCAGACTCATCACGGGTATAACCAGCTGAAATATTTAACTGTTTGGGTGGTTAGGCAATGGTCATTAATAAAGCACATTTTGGGGCAGTATATTTCTGAACGCTTACCACAGCCAGGGTCTTGTTGTGGTTGGGAATAAATGGGCTCCTTGCAAAGCGCAGGTTGCCCTGGAGCCCCGTTCTCGTTTCTGCCGCGCGGCGACCCCGTCCCGCTGGTGCAGATGGGGGCTGTGCGGGGGCTGTTGTCCCCGCCGCACGGAGCCTCGCAGCACGGCTCTGTTCGGCACGATGGAGCATCGGGACTTCACCAAAAGCATTTCACAAGGCATTGCATAAATTCTATAAAAACTGATAACATGAGACATTTCATCCGGCTCTGTTAAATATCTGTCTACCCGCATTTTGAACTGTGCAGTTTCCAATTCAGATTTTCTGTAGGAGTGTTCATTGGGTTGACTTTTTGCTGCTTTTTATAAGAGAATGTAATGATACAACCTTGCTCAGCATTGAAAATGCTAGAACAAAGTCATTAACCAAAAATGTTGCAAAAAGTTTAGATTTTTTACATTTTACATAAAGCATTTTCCAGTGCTTTCCTATATGAACATGACTAAAAAAAAAATTCTGCTTCCATTAGGTGCATGATTCCTGTCTTCGCAAAGAGAAGATTTTTCCCTTCTGCAAAACAATTTTTGCATGGTGCTTGTTCCAGCTCTCTGGTTATTTTTGCCTTCATTTTCTTTGTTTTTCACCATATATACATATATATATTTTCTTGTGTCATGATAAAAGCTAATTAGGATAAGTAAATAAAACATTTAACTTATTTTTTTAATGGTTGAATGACATTATAAATAACCCCTCTAAAAGGAATTTTAAAGGCAGTTTTGATTTCTTATTGCGCATGTGACGATGCATGAAACCTGTGTATACTTCCTGCAGTTGCAGAAGCCATTGGAATACCTGGCTTTGGCAAAAGAGAAGGTCATAATTATTGAATTTTGTGATTAGAACTTTGTCTCCCTTAAAAAAAAATGTGCTTAGAAGCAGTGACTAATTGCATATACCATTTAGCTCTTCGACATACAAGGCTTTTAAGAACAGGCTTAAAAAAAACTGTAAAAAGGCTGTGACTCTTTCTTTGACTATTTGTCAGAGAAAAGATAAGCCAAGAGTTGAGTCAAGAACTAATCCCCTTAGAATATGTCTAATATAAGTATGTGCATTATATTAAAATATTAGAACCTTAGACTATTTTGCAAGGCCTCTTTCCCCACTATATCTGTCTGATTTTTAGTAGTAGCTTTCAGTGTCTGGCCATGTTCAGCATAAGTGCCCATGTAAGCAGGATGTGCCGCGCTCTGAAAGCCACACACTGCAGGATTTCCTGGAGCTCCTGAAACTGTCCATCAAGCCAGGGCTTGCAAACTTCCAGGATTGGACTCTTGGTAGGAATATTGATGACAGTCATGATAATGTTAACTTATCTGAAAAGGAAACCTTTCCCCCACCTTCAGGTATTATTTAAAACTATCTCCATATTGTTCATTTTCAGTAAATCAGAAAAATACATAAAATATACTACCTTTATGCAGATAGATCTCACAGTAGAGTTGTCTGATAACTCTTTGTGGAAGAGCCAACATTGGGAAGCAAAGCACAGAGTAAAGACCTTTTTTTTTTCCTTTAAGATACAATGTAGGGGTTCTTCATTATCTGCTTTCTGCCTATTTAGAAAAATAAATATGTACAGCTAGTTTTGTGTGACCAGATTATATGCATTTTTAGCAGGCCTACAATTCCATCTTAATTTTTCTGTATAGATTATAAGATATGCATAGTTATTAAATGTCAGGAGTAATGTTGTAGGTGAAATTTGAATGATCTTCCATTTTTATCCTTTTTTTGCTTGGTTTATAAAATTCTTTGTAATGTATTTTTCTATGTGTACAGCTTGTTTTTGGAATGTGGAATTCTGTGCACCTTTTTCATGCTTAATTATGTATGATGTACCTGTGTTAACGTATTGAAATCATTTTACAATATGCTGCATGCTTAAGAGTAAAAACGTTTGCTATTTTCTCAGCTTTCAGATGTTTAATTACAAGAAAATGAGATTTTGAAGGTAAAATGGAGTTTATCACATACACAAAGAGAAATACCTTACATAGTATAGACAAATTATGCATGGATGGGTACAGCAAAAACAATTGATAAAATTGTTTATGATTCCAGGTTCCATGGTTCCTTTCTCCATGCGTATTTTACATGCTGAACTTCCTCAGTATCTAGGGAATCCTCAGGAATCACTTGATAGACTGCACAGCATGAAGATAATCTGCGCCAAGGTAACGGATTCTCCATGCAACAACATTTCATAATGTTTACGGAATATGTTTTACTGTCCCTACCCAGAACGTATGATTTGAATTATCTTGTCTTTTAACTCTGTCAGACAAATGATACAAATAAGGAACTCACTAATGGATCACGTACTCTTCTTTTGCCTGTTAGGTTGCAGCATCCTTCTTTCCCTTGCTTGGTAACTCTGCTCCCTAAACACGTGGACTGGTAGAAACATAATAGAAACATCATTTCCCTGCTTTCTTGCTTGTGCCAGGCAAGATGCAAAGAAAATAGTGTAATATGTTTGAGGGCAAGTGGGAGAAGCCTTTTTTTTCCCTCACTCAGCTGCATACAACTATCCAGTAGCTGTTAATGACCAGGACTATGCTCCCTCTTTCAGAAATAGACTGGATAGCTGGCTTTGGAAATGCCAGGCATTTAAACTGTTTCTTTTGTTTTCTTTTTCAAGTTGCAACAATACAAAATTAATGCCTAAATGATAGTAAAGGATTTGTCAGTGCTGAAAATTGAATGATGATGCTGTGAACACTATCCATATCTCAGTCCACTAAAGCAAACATCCTAAGTATTAAGCATCTATCCTTTAATTTTTAACAGAAGTCTTCCCTAGTAATCTAAATAAATGAATGACTATAAATATTATAAATCGTGTTAATCCCCCGAAGAAACAAAGCTTTATTGTTTTATCAGAGACACTTAAAATTTCAAAATTGTTTATTATATATGATTGCATTTTATTTGCAGTATTCTTCGGAAATCTCCTATATTTACTCATGAAAATTAATTGAGTAATATAAATGAAGGATTTCTATTAGTATAATTGCCTTAAGTCATAAAATAAACTTGTTTCTTAATGCAGAGTAGTCACTAGGATAACCAAATGTTTACAATCGAAAAGCATTATCTTTCCATTATGAGGGAAAAGAAGGAAGTTTTTGGTAATAGATGATGAATGTAGCATTTGCTGTAGAGTTGGAAAGAATTATTTGGAAACTCTTGAAGGATATAGCAAATTTGACCAAACCCAACTTCTAGAGGGCACTTTTTAGCACATCATGCATAATGTTTCTGTTTGTGACAGTCTCATCTAGTATTACTGCCAGCCTCTTCTCTCTGGCATTTGCCTTTGGCGCTTGTAAGCAAGCAGTTCTCCTTAATTTGAAGAAATTCCAGAAATTGTCATAGTCCTCCTCGCTGCAGGATTGAGCAGTGCTGCCCCGATGATGGCTCACCCCAGCTGGCAGGAGATCAGCAGGCGTTTCTTACCTTTGCTTTGTGTGATGTGGCATTAGGTGTAATGTTGTCTACCTTGGGTCACAAATAGGCTCCTAAAAATTAACTAGTATTTATGCTCTTTTATCCTCTAAAGGAGAGAGAAAATTATGTGTATGCGTGTGAGGAAGTGATCGCCAAGCAGGTCATCTTCATCAGCCGTCCAGCTAACTATTGAAGGAGACATATCTTAGTTACTGTGGAATTAACCCTGAGCCTCCACAAGTTAAATGTTAGTGAACGTAAGAGGAATGAAAGAGAAAGAATATTAGCTTCTTCCCCCCTCTTCTTTTTGAGACCTTTAAGTCATCTAGAAGCTTCGGGTGGCTCTGCTTTTCCTTAGGTTTTGTTTGAACACAAACTAGACTGATCATCTGTTTAAATTGGAGAGATGATGATGGGAAATGGGAGGAGATGAAAAAGAAATAAAGGATATCTGCAAATAAAAGATACTTTTTTTTTTCTCCTGCCAACTGTTCTTGAAGAACAGGCCCTTTTAAGCATATTCTGCCGGATCAAACTCTAGTGGCTTCCTGTGTTAGTACAAACTCTGTGCAATCCCTTGTATCCTTTGCAAAAGATTATTTGAGTCTGGCTATGTGTCTTTTATTGGCTTTTCCAAGGAGTCCTCCATTCTCTGCACTTGCTGTCAGTTCCCCGTTTGCTCTCTCTCTATTCTGAATTTGAGAAGCTGCTCCCGGGTGATGTCAGGTTGGGAGCAACCTCCCCTTCCTCCTGGCAGATTCCACCAGGACCAGGGTTCAGAAGAGCAGACAAGCCATTCGCAGTGCTGACAGCCACTACTTTTTGAAGTACAGAACACAGGAAACTGCAAACAAATGCATAAAATTTACCACCCTTCCCAAGGGAATATTCCTGATCAGTTATCCTAAGTACCTCATTGCAGATCACTTCAGTTGCTTGCATTTAATTAAATCCCTTGTCTTTCGGAGCAACTCAAAAACAACTGTAGAAAGAAGAGTGTGAAAAAGGAGAGTTTGTAGCAATAAAGACATTTTTAAAAAGCAGTTGTAAGTTCTTGATAATTTAACCACTTGATGTAATATGCAGGACTGTCTGGAAATCCTGTATGTTTGTATGTTGTTTTAATTTTTGTGTGGAATGCTCTCGGCCTTGTAATCTAGATCACACTGGCCTGTTCACCAATGGGGCACATAATGCTTAGGAAAACCATGGCATAACATGGAAACCAGCATAACGAGTGTATATTCATTATTCTTCATATTTGTATACGACACTTGGGAACCATTTGGGTTATAACAGAATTAATTGGGGAGCTTTCAACCAAAAGCCTCCAGTGTTTTACTTCGCTGCTTTAAAAAGTGGAAAAATAATCTCTGGGCATCCTTATTTACAGAAGGGCATACGAGTCGTCAGTATATAAATGAGATGATCTTGGAGCCAGGAAAGCTGGAAGAGAGAAAAACCCTATTAGCTCACCTAGTCTGTCTCTTTGCAAAGCAGGGCTGTTTTTCAGCTCTTAATGAGCCAACCTATGGAGCTGAGACCACTTCCCCTGGGAGGTTATTCCAGGCTAATGCTGATATATTCTTATCATATGAAAATTTGTCTTCCTGTTCTGTTTCTCTTTCTTAATGTAATTTCATTATTCCTATCTGATACCTCTTTTTAACCTCCTGAATTCCCTCTTGCTTTTTCTTCTGTGCACTCCAGAGACAGTTGTCAACTTCCCATGGCCATTAGACTTGAAGTTCAGTCCATAGTCACTTTGTCAGCATTCTGGTAACTCGGTCTCTTCAGCCTGTCTGTTCTTGCATATATCTGGTAACTGAACTAGGACTGGAGGTTGAGCGAATAATCATAATTTTATTTTTCCCTGTATGGGATTTTTTTTTCTTTTTGCCTTTTTTAGTATGCCTGCAAAATGGTAATCAATATTTGAGCTGATATTTTACTTCTCTTGTTTGGAATGAAATAATCTCTCAAAGTTCTGTGGAGGAATACGATGAAATTATTATTGTCTCTGTGTTGTCACTGGTCTTTCTGAACGTGAGTTGCTTCAGTGAGTTTTTGAACTCAGGTCTACTTTAAAGTAAATGGTTTCCAAACACCCAAGCAGTAAAGAGCAGTAATTTAAATCATAAAAGGGTTTGTTCTATTCAAATACACATACAAAAACATACTCATGCTGACTTCAGTGCTACTATGCCAAAACATACCAGGTTTGGATTAAACTCAAACCATGTTTGTGACTGGCTGAATAAAGAGAGACCTCTTGGAAATAACATCCCGTAGTGTAACCTGTTTTGTTTCTCAACCCTGATACATCAAGTAACAGACCTGCACTGTCCTGTTCTACCATGGGAGTGGAGCAGCAACGATACGGCTGCATAAAAAAAAAAAATTACCTTTTGCCAGTTACGCATCTGCCACCCACTGTAGTTCCACTCCTTCATACTGTCTTCCTCCCTGACCATTTGTATCTCTCAGTCTATTGTTTTACTTCCACAATGATGAACTTTTCAGTCTCTTGGCTAGAGACTGCTTTTGCTTTCTCATTTTCGCTCGATCTCCAGTCCTGGTTCAGTTACTGAGAATATGCAACTATTCTGTTTTTCATATATGACTTCAGTGTAAGGGATATTTCTCTTGATGCCTTGTTTGGGGAGGTTTTAGAAATAATCATACAGCAGTCTGAGTACCCAAAAAGCCATAATTTCAACACACAGCTTATTTTGAATAAGAAGCTAATGCTGAGTAGAAGTTGTGAAAGACAGAGATATGTAAGGATGCCAATGGTCACATGCATAGGTTAGCAGTTAAAGCATACAGACAATTGATGTAGATTGAAACAAGACTGAATTAAATAATTTTAGCCAGTATAAGTAATGTATATGTATTCAAAACAAGAAAAAACATAGGACATATATACATATACATATGTGTATATGTTTTAAGATATATATATAAATGTTGTTTAAAGTAGATGGTAGTGGTGCTCAGTGCTTGTTTCTCTTTATATTTAAAACAAGGATGTTTAGAGCTATCCCATATGATATTGCTGGCGTGGATAGCTCACGATCAGTGGAAAAGAAAGATGAGAGCATCTGCTAAAATTAAAAAATTTCATATCAGCTAGCCCACATAACTCACACTGAGCAGCTACTTGAATCATTAACGTCAGTATTAAGCAATATTTGAAAAACTAGGGAAATTCTCAAGTATTGAAAGAGTGCTGATGTTGTTCCTATGTTTAAGAAGGGCAAAGGGAGATGAACCTAGGGAATTAACCAATTAGCCTCAAATCAGCCCCGAGTTCTGTTTTAATTATGTTGAGCTTGAGGTGACAGCTCGATATCCCTGAGTGGATGTCACAGAATGGTTAATATAATACTCTAATGGTATTTTCATATCTAAGTCTTTTTTTTTTCTGATTATGTTAGTCAGCACATCTTCACAGAAGGGCTTTGTCAAACAAATCTATTGTCTTTTTCAGCAGGTTTTTTAAAGAGAAAAGTCACTTTTTTAGGCTGGTCAGAGAATAGACACTACGTTTTTTTGGCTTTTCTGGGGAAAGGATAGCATTCATTCACCAGCCTGTGAGATGCCTAGTTATACACTTGACGTTTTAACACTTTTAAAAATCTGGTGCTTTGATTTCCAAGTGATCTCTAAGTGGCTGCACTGCCTGAAAGTGTGGCTAAGATTCAGTCTCAACACCACACTACTGTGATATCCTAAATTGCCACCTATCAATAAGGCACAATATCTGTACAAGTGGATGCTCTTAGCCTCTCAAAATTTGAGATAAGGCAGCTTAGCTTAGCCCTCTGTGGACAAGGTTTACTCTAAATCATGTTACCTTGTATTGTCACAGGCTAACAATTCTTACAGGGAAAATTACCCTGGCTCAGCTGGCATGTGGTAACTGCAGTCATTTCATCATACGCTTTTCATAGCTCTTGCGTTGCTTGGAGTTAAATTTATTGCACCTAACTTTAGGCTTTTGCTGTAGCCTAGGAAAAGAGATTGGTATCTCTTAGGGCAATTCCTTCTTTCCATCCAAAGATGTATAAAATAGGTAGCATGAATTCACTTTTTGGAGGTACTAATTGGTCTTCATTAACTGTAGTAGGCACCAAAAAGCTATTTGAGCTCAGATTAATTTTGCCTTTCCAGCCTTTGAGGTTCTCCTTTGTGTTGTTTTTAAGGGTCTGCTTAGAAGACACAGAGTGCAATTTGAATGTTTTCCTGATGTAGAAAAAAAAAATGTCATCTTAAACTTTGACCGACAGAAGCTAACAGCTCTGCTGGCAAGTGCACTGAGTGCCCAGCAGAGGAAGTGCCTCATGTTTTGCTAATTGGGTAACCACAGCAGCTGATTAAAGAGCAAGCCGCCTTAATGGATTTTGAAGGGGATCTCTAGCAGTGGACTGTGACCAAAATTATAAATCTGTAACAGGAGAAATGGGGAGATCTGTAGGAGTCAGAGAATAAATTGGGAGAAACTAATGGGAGGAGAAAAAGGGACAGTGACTTGCATTTTAAATGGAGCCTTGCATACATACTTTAATAGTGCTTAAGAAACGACCTTCAGTAAATAGAGATTTTTGTTCTTCCAATAGTACAACAAATGCTTCATTCATTCAATGGTTTACATTACTTAAAATCTGTAGTAAATAGCAATAGCAAATAGCAAAAAATAGCGAAAAGACAGCAATAGACCCCGAACTTTGAGAAGTGAACAAAAAGAACTGAAAGAAGTGTTTTTTGAAGAACATAATGACATAAAGAGAAACCGGAGCTCAGGTAAAGGTGGGGGGAGTCTAGAGGGAGCATCGATTGGATGTTTTGCGTTGCTACCATTCATCCTCTGGCGAAACATATTTCATGTTTTGCTTAACAAAATGTGTATGTCCCTAGACCGTGCTGACATTTAATGTTCTGAAGGTACCATAAACCTAAACTCTAATATCCTTCTACCATACAAAGGCTTCTTACTTTATGCAAATGCTCTAGCTGTAGTAATCATCAGTGATTTTGAAATGTATCGATGTGAAACATTCCTGCCTGAATTGTTTTTCATACAGCCTGTCAGTTGTTGATAATTGGCGTTTAATACAAAATGCTGTTTAAACTCATATTATTTACTTTAAAAAATTACTACAGATACTAGAAAATTTGGAACAAGGCTTAGCTGAAGATGGAAGTATGACTACCATTACACAGGAGAACAGGCAAGGTAGGTATCCTTTAAACCTTTTCTTCACAGACAGTGTATTTTTACTGCCTGCTCAAGTATACCAGAAGTTTTCACTGCCCCAAAGTTGTTAAAACAGCGTTTATGTCATCTCGTAGCCTGCTCAACCTCTGAAGTGATATGCCTTGTACGTTTATTTGCTGGAATTAATTGCACAGTTTTGCCTTTCATTTTAATCAAATTGACATACTAAATCAAAATTCTTGCCTTGTTAGAAGAAACAACATGGCTGCCATCCGTTAGGGGTGAGCGAGGTGTAAGTAGATCAGCATCTTGCTGTGGCAAACATGTGGATGCTGCATCTTGAGCCTTGACTCATGGCCTCCTCTCCGTCCTCATCTCTGAAACTCACCAAATTTCTTTGGGTCAAATTGCTATTGTACAAGGGCCACACTGGTCTAGGTGGTTGTTATGATCTAGGTGGTGGTTGTGTCCATATCTCACTGAAGGTGCATGATACTCCTGAAATAACCAGGTCTCCTTTAAAAATGAGGTTTAGATAGTATTCATCTGAAATAGCGTTTTCATCATCTTATTTGTGCCTGTGTTTTTGTTTTTTTTTTTTTGCATTACTGCTGAGCTGTTTAACCAGGGTAGTCTGGGGTATGTTACTGCATAAAGGTCATCTGGACAAATTAGTTGTCTGAGCATCCTTTTTTGTTAATGGAATTTATGCTAATGAGGTCACTTGTGTGTGCTTAAAAATTGAACAGGAGGTGATGGATTAGATCCACTCATGGTGCCTGGTAATCTAGAAATTAAAAATTTCATACCAAGGAAACAACCTTCCAGTTCCAGCTGACAAATCAGGCAATTGTGTCAACTTCCCTCGAGGACAACATTCACCTGGCGGGTGTGGGAGGTCAGATCTGGCCCTGGCAGGGACGAGGCTGCGCGGAGCTGTGGGCAGGGCGGGTTTGCTCTAGCGCAGGCTCTGAGGGCCCGTCTGCGTGGAGCGGCGCAGACCTGCCTGGGCTCGGCTGCCGCTTCCTCAAACGGACCAGCTGTAAAGCAGCTTTTACGTGTCCCTGTGCTCGAGCTAACACACCGTCGAGGTGTATCCTAAAAAAGTGAGTGTCTCTGTGAGCGGCAGATATCATGAAGGCATTCACAGGTATATTAGAATGAATATGTCTACTGTTCTTCTTGGAAGGGATAGAAAAAAAAAAGCAGATATAATCAGATATTCAGGATGTATGCACAGCACTAGAGAAGCTTCCGTTCTCTGCTTGTATCTGCTATTCCTCTTGCCTTGTCCCTTGCCGCCTTTGCCTTTATCCTCCTGCTTTCCCTTTCTGCCTTCATTTTCTACCTTCATTCTTCCTTCTGCCTCCTTATCCCCACACTGTTTTCCCCATCTTTAGAACGAGGAGCCTGCTCACCTCTCCGAGCGCAAGGACTTTCGGTCGTAGCCGTGTCCTACCCCTGCCCGCAGCCTCCCGGCTCCCGCCAGCCCCGGGCCCCTGCCGTCACACCCC